ATGGCCAAATCCTCTGACCTCACTCCTACTCCCTACACACACCCAGCTCTCCTCTACTGGGGTAAAGACTATATTCACATATTCACCACCATGTCCCCAGGGACTAAAGCACCACGCCTGGCTCAGAGTCAGTGCCCAATAAAGATCTGCTGAATGATGGATTATTGTATTCCTCACCTGCCTTAAGCCTCCACTGTTTCTACTCCTACACCTCATCAAACTTTGGCAGAGTAGTGATGCAAACCAAGCGGCTCCATTAGAACCACTTGTCTCTGAGGTCTTGGCCATTTAAGGTCATGAGTGACTCAAAAGAAGACCAAGGCCAGTCTGGTGGGCTGTCTCAAGAGTGCTTACTGCTGTCCTATGGTGAGCGGCCAGAACAAAGGCTAGGACCTGGGCCACTCCAGAATAGATTCTCAGAACAAGACCAGAAGCCACCTTTTCTTGTCCTCTCATTTGACAAACTCTCCTTTTGTCTCAGGAACTGCCACTGGAACACTGCACAGGTCAGCCCCACCCACAATGCTTACGTGGGACAGCGGGATGCTTTCCCATGTCCAAGCTGTACTCATTCCATGAAGGGGAAAGTACAGAGGTATGGCTGAGGCATGGGGTCTGAAGCAGACTGCCTGGGTCTGAATCCTGGTTCTACCACTTAGAAGCCCAGTGATCTGGGATGCATTAGTATGGTGGCAACACAGAGCAGTGATTAAAAATGTGAACTCAGGGGCCAAACTGTCAGGATCAAATTGTAGCTCTGACAATATGCAGTGACCTTGGGCAGGTCACTATTGGCTATCATAACCATTTTGTGCCTCAGTTTCCTAAATTATACATTGAGGATCACTAATAGTAATCCTCATAGGGTTGTTGGGATTAGAGGAGAGGACCTAGGGCATGGCACTTAATAAACACTCTACAAATTATTATCATTACAAACATGTTAATAATAATATGCTTATGTGTCATAAATTATTATTAATTATTATTAATATATATATTTTTTTTACCACGTTGCCTGACTGGACAACCTGGGAACAAGATTACAGCAATGTCCAGCTTTGCTTCAGAAAGGATAAACAAGGATGGATGCCCAACACCAGCACTAGATGTATCTCTGAGAGGCCTCAAAGTGCCCCTGAGCCCTGGCTGGGAAAGTGTGGCTGGGGTCGCATCTGCTGTGCCAACACCAGTGGGATAGAGGAAACGCACTGACCCATGGCTGATGCTTTGCTCTTTGAGAAACCCGACAAAACAGAAAAGGACTCTCCCTTCCTGACCTGCTCAGGCCCCCCATCCATCTCTTCCATACAGAGTCATTTTATTCTCTGCTCCCGAAAACACTGGTCACCCTAACTCCCAGGACAAGCACAGGAAACTCCAGTGCAAACAAGACCGCTGTGGTCTTGCGGCTGGCCCACCTCCTCCAGGCGTGGTGCTGCTCCACCCGGGCGCTGAGGTACAGGGCGAGACACAACAGCACCCTAACCCCCTTCCCAGGGTAGGAGTCTTTGATGGGGGTACATGACAGAGCTAGCTACCTTTCCCGTCACACCACCCCCCAGGCTCCTCCGGGTGAGAAAAGCTTTCCCACTAGCAGGGCGTGGGGCTTATACTGGTCCTTCTGCAAGGCCTGGTCAAGATGCCTCATTCCTAGGTATAGGTGTGTGTGTGTCTGTGGGTGTCTGTGTGTACCCTTTTCCTCCTCTTCCATGTCCCACCTTGGCCCATCAAATAGAAGCTTCCACTAACACTTCTGCAAGGAGTGGCCAATTCTGTCACTGAGACTTGCCATTAATGGGGTCATTCTTACTAGTAGTGGGGTCATTTTCCTCAAAAACAATTTATAAATCCTATCCTCTCTCTTGGGCTCTTGGCCCTTCATGAATTCAGGCATGACTTGGCTTCTTCTGAGCCTTTTGGAAGCAGATGAAGCAAGGCTGGCCCTTGGACAGCCTGATGAGGCCTTGGTTCTCTCTGCTCCAACTTCTCAGCCAATGACTCGGTTAGTATATTCAAGTCTAGGAGCCACAAGGGTGATGGTGGGGTGACAGCAGGAGGTCCCATTCTGATCTCAGGACTAAACGCATCCCCTGACATGGTTTACCAGGGAGTCCTGTCTTTGAGTCATAAAGCTGACCCCTGAGCCCAGTCTACCTGAGCAGTTTGTGTTCACATATTTCTGGCCAGAACCTGGAGGTGAAGATGGAGGTCTGGCACCAAACACCTGACCACCCCAAGCCTGCGACCATCACACCAGCCTCACCTCCCACTGGGTCTCCTCCAGTGCGGGGGCAAAGTTGGTCTTCTCCTTCTCGTAGGACCTCAGCTTGGTCTCCAGCAGGTCCTGCTCCTTCATGAGGCTCTCCAGCTCCTGCCGAAGCTGCCGCTTCTCTTGCTGGAGCTGGAGCACCTGGAGGTGCAGCACCTGCTGCGTGCGTTGGCTCTTCTGTGAGGCCTGCTTCAACTTGCTGTTGCACTTCTGCTCCAGGCCCTCCAGCTCCTCCTTGCAGCGCCGCTGCCGCTCCTCATAGACCTGGCTGGAGGCTAGCTCCTTCTTCTCAAAGCTGTGCTGTAGCTTCTGGAGCTCACCCTCCCTCTCCAGCAGCTTCTGCTCCAGCTCCTGGATGGTGCACTCGTCCGTGGAGATCGGGGCACGGACGCACGAGGGGCCCTTCTCCGCCTTACCCGGGTGGGCTAGCTTGCTACCCCCATCGGAGAAAGACAGAGCCTTCAGGCTCATCATGTTGCTGTCCTGGAGGATGATGCCCTGTGTGATGTTGTGGGCTGAGCCTCCAAAACGGCTGGTGGGCCCCACAGGGGTGACCAGTGGGTCCAGCTGGTAGCTGCTGCTGGTGCTGTGTGTGGGCAGGCTGGACATGGAGTTCCGGCCAGAGTCGGAGAGCGCCCCAGAACACAGGCTGGGCTTCAGCTCCTGCTCCTTGGGCTTGTCTGGGGGTGCAGGGTGTAGCTGGTGGCTGGCACTCTCCGGGGAGGAGTGGAGGAGGGCTCCTGACCGGGGCAGCATGGGTTTGAATGCTGTGGGCCTTACTGCACCTTTCTCTGAGCCCTGGGAAGAAACAGACCACATTGACCTTGGAGTCTCCCTTCAGCACTCATCCCATCTCTGCCCTGCCACACAGTTTCTGTGCTGGCCTCTGTGACCCACCTGAGCACACTCCAGCCCATTTGGCCCCTTTCTTGGTAAGCAGCCATAAATCTCACCTATTTCTCTAGTGCAGCCTAATGTGGTACCTGGGGAATGGACTTAATGATCACCTAGACACTTTGTTCCATGAAAATACCAACCTATCACCAGCTTGTCCCAGCCCTCCTGAGGTAAACATCATTTTGGGGTTCACTGGCTGAGATACTTGGGCCAGGGTTCGGGCTCTGGCTCTGGGTCTCTGTGTGGTGTAGGATAAGGACATTAGGCTGGAATCTGGAGGCCCAGGTTCTAGTCTGGACAAGCTTGATGTCCTTGTACAACTGGATCCCCTTTCTTCACCGTCACTGCCTCTTCCATTAAAGCTTGGAGAAAGAATATTGGCCCTGGCCTCTCACAGGGCTGGAAAGATCACTTGAATTAACAACTACTTTTTTAAACTTGTAATTTTCATTGGCAGAGTACTTTGTAGTTTACAAAGCACTTTATTTTGCAAAGCTTAAAGCGCTTTTCAAACATAAGGGGCCATTTTCCTAGTTTATCAAAGCCATGAATTCATTCCCTCCAGGTGGGGAGGGGAGGGGAGGGAGAATGGAATAGGAAAGCTGTTTTCGGTGCCACTGGTGGGATCCATGAATGCTTCAGCCAGTATGAGGACTGAATTTCTGAGTACTTAGGACACTTTTGCCCTCACCCCTACTAAGTTAATGATAATAGTAAACTGACAGCCCTTATCCAGCCAAAGATACTTCTGGGCCAGGCTGGAGCAAGGAGCTTACTGTACCACCAGAGCAGCAAATGAGGAAAAGGCCCCACCTCCATGAGGGGTGAGGCAGTGGTGGCTCAGTGATAGAATTCTCACCTTCCATATGGGAGACTTCAGTTCAATTCCCAGCCAGGGCACTTCATGCGCAGCCACCACTCATCTGTCAGTAAAGGCTTGCGTGTTGCTATGATGCTGAACAGGTTCCAGCAGAGCTTATAGACAGACTAGGAACAAGGCCTGGGGATCTACTTCCAAAAACTAGCCAATGAAAACCCTATGGATCCCAATGGTCTGAGCCCCAACTGGTAATGAGGATGGCGCAGGACTGGGCAGTGTTTGTTCCGTTGTGCACAGGGGTGCCATGAATCAATCGGGGCCAACTTGACGGCAGGTAACAACAACCACAACAACCATGGGGTGTGCAAGTTGGCTCTAGAGAGAAGCTGCAAACTCTCCAAACGTACTCTCCATCTGCTCTTACAGACAATATTTCCTCTCCGCATGTGCTTGTAAATGATGTTGTTTGTCCCACTTAACAATCCAGAGTCACATCCAGTAGAGCTCAGGAAGCTTTAGCTTCTCCATTTGCTCTTTGCTTACAGGCTAGCTAAGACTACCGGTTTAGGGGACTGACCAGTGCTCTAGTCCCTTCTCCAACCTTCGATCTCTGCAGTATGCCATTACCATCACTGCCTTTGCCTCTTTGGAGAGTTAAATGTTTCAAAGATCACCCTCATACCCATGCCCTCCACCTCCATTTTGCCCTCTCCTGCCTCTCCAACTCTTCCCACCTTCCCCCACACCCCCGCTTACCATCTCTAGCTGATTGGAGAAGGGCATGAGCTTGGGTGGGGTGGACGAGCCAAAACCCACCCCGGCCTGGCCCATGTCCCCACTGGACAGGGCAGTGTAATCTGGGCGATGGGAGCCACGGGCCTTCTGGCTGACTTTGATGTAGAAGAAGTCTTCGCTCTTGCCCATTTTGGAGCTGGACTTGCCATGACCTGATTCCTGGGAAAAGCCGAATCTCAGCAGCCCATCTGAATAGCGATTGAGCTTCTTGAGGTGGGAGGATTTGCGCAGCTTGTACTGGGAAGCCCGGCAGTGCTTGCTGTGGAAGCCGTGGCCGGAGATGAGGCTACTCACACTGCCCATGGTGACTGGGAGCCGAGGGTAGGCAGGGCAGGGAGGGGGCCTGGCGTGGCTGTGGCAGTAAGAGGCAGTCCTGACTCTGCCAGGAGACTGCAATCATAGCAAAATCTTCAGAGAGCCTGGGAGACGGCAGGCCTAGAAGGAGACACAAGGCAGAAGTCAGTCTGGGAAGGGGCCAGTCACTGGGTGGTCCTCAATGGTAACTAATTCTGACTGCTAGATCAGGGCAGTAGAGCAATCCACGTCACAAGCCCAGCCCTGTTTCACTGTTGGGTCTTCCATTCATTCCTTCTTTCTCACCAACTCAGCAAATATTCACTGAGAGCCTACTTCAATAAGGCTCTGTTCTAAACACTGGGGATACAGTAGTCAACAAAACAGCTACAGTCCCTGCACTTTGGGGATTCCATTCAGTGTAATGTGGCCAGGCCACAAACAAATAAACGTATACTGTATCAAGTAACAGGTCCCTAGGTAGCGCAAATGGTATTCACGTGGCTACTAACCAGCCAACTAGCAGTTTGAATCCACCCAGTGGCACCAAGAAAGAAAGCCGTGGCAATCTGCTTCCGTAACATCACAGCCATTGAAAACCCTATAGAGCATAGTTCTACTCTGACACACAGAGTCACCATGAGTCAGAATCAGCTCGATGGCAATGGATCTATCAAGCGATATATGAACTATGTATGAGGAAAAATAAAGCAGAAGGATAGAGTTCTGCGAGGTGGCTATTTTATACAGGGTGGTCAAAGGAGGTGTCTCTCTTAAGTTATCATCTGAAGAGACTAAAGAAAATGAGAGAACAAGCCATGTAAAATCTGGGGAGAGAGCGCTTACCATAAGGAGCCCCAAGTGCAAAGGCCTGAGTTTCTGAGTAGAGTGGGCTTGACATATGCAAGACCAGCAAGGAGACCAGTCTGGCTGGAGGGTAGTTAACAGGGGGTACGATGGAGAAGTAGAAAGAAGTCAGAAAGCTAGCAGGGTCCAGACAACATAGAGCCTGGTGGGTCACAAGGGCTTTGGCTTTTGCTCTGATTGAGATGCAGAGCACTGGATGGCTTTAAGCAGATGACTTAGGTTGTAGAAGAAGGTCACTCTGACTGCTGGGTGGAGAGTAGACTGTTGAGGGGCTGGGGCGGAAGTGGCGGGCCAGTTATGTTAGGTGAGTGACTGATATGGCTAGTCCAGGGTGGTAGCTGTGGACATGGTTAAAGTGATTAAATTTTAGATATATTTTTAAGACAGAGCCAATAGAATTGGCTAGTGGATTGGAGATGTAGGGAGAGAGAGAAAAAGAGGAGTCAAGGTGACTGCAATGGTTTTGACCAAGCAACTAGAAGAAGAAAGTTGCCATTTATTGAGATGTAAAAGACCACAAGAGGAGCCAGTTTGGGTTGGGGTGGGGTAGAAAATAGGGGTTTGGTTTAAGCCATGTTAAGTTTGCAAAGCCTATTCGATTGACATATAAGAAGAGTTGTAGAGTGTGTGGGGAGAGGTTGGCTGGAAATTTACAAGTAAGAGTTGTTAGTGTATAGAAATCAGCCATGAGACTAGATGAGGTCACTCAGAGTGTGAATGCAAGAAAACAAGAGACGAAGTGTGAGAGCTAATTCATGGGGCACTCTCAACATCAGGTCAGGAATAGGAGGAGCAATGGGCAAAGGAAACCCAGAAGCTTGGACAGCGATGTAGGAGGCCTAAGAAAGCCAAGTAAAGAAACTGATTCATAAGGACGGTGTCAAATACTGCTAAGAGGTCAAGTAAGATGGCGACAGAACTGGTCAATGGATAGCCACGAGGAGATCATCAGTGACCTTGACAAGAGCAGATTTGGTGGAGTGGTGAGAATAAAGGTCTGATTGGAAAGGGTTCAAGGGAGAAAAAGGGAGGAAATATCTGTACCCTTGAAAGCTGAGAAGTATGTGATAGACTTGGTTTGGATTCCCAGCTACACCGTTACCACTACCAGCTGTGACATCTGAGGCAAATTATTTAACTGTTTAATCATCAATTTTACAAACTAATTCTATGACACACATTTAAAATTGAAAACAACATTTTTTAAAAATAGGATTGTAACTTATAATCAACGTTTAAAACAAGAACAACCTTGCTAGTAACCAGACAAAGGAATAAGTTGGGATGTTACTGCCTGCACATGCCTGGATTTAAGTATAGATCACACGTTTTCTAGGAAAGCCTGTGTGACTGCCATGCATTGTGAGTTATGCGAGGAAACTACAAGGCTGTTAAAATAGGAAATACAGAAGGAGCCCTGCATTCTTTGCTCTGCTGTAAATTATACTATTTATCCTAAAGGGACTATGAAAGTCCCAGGTGGGTTATGGAGAGCCCTGTGTGCACAGCCTAAGGGGAGCCACATGGCTCTTGGGACTCTTAATATGAAGGCTTGGATTCACACTTGCATTGCTAACCCAAAGAACAAACTGGAAATGTTATGGATAAATATGTTCTCTAGTCCATTAGTAAAACTACAACAAAGCAAACATCATTATGTAACTTTAATGTGTATTTTTAAGTGAAAAGCTTTTATTACATTAATGACGTCTCAGAATAAAGGAAATGCAGTAAAGCCTACCTCATGTGACTGTTATGAGAAGTATATGAGATGCCAGCATAAGACAGCAGCTCTGGTGTATTTATCAAATGCCTGGTACATAGTAGGCACTCAGTAAATGGTAGGTATTTTTATTATCATTGTCCTCACCAGCTTGTACCATTCCTATGCTATCCTCATGATTTTCTAGAACTAGTCCTCTCCCTTCCAAATGCAACTTTATTACATCCTATTCCCCCAGGGCCCTAGTGAGAACCGCGTTCCTCTGCTAACCTAACAGCAGACAACGAAAAAATATGTTTTCTTATCCCTCCAGGTCACCCATATCTTGCTTAGCCTCAGCCTCCTGATCCTATGAGGTAGGATTTCCACTGCTGACCATATGCAGGGAAGCTATTTTTGGCCAAAAGACTCCCCAGCACTCTACACATGACACTACTTGGGTAACTAGCTCCTGATTTTTTTTAATCCATCCAATACATATTTATGAGCATGTCTATATGAAGTGTTGTAGAAATAAAA